AGTACTGCAATCCTGAAGTACCTTGTGCAGAAACACTCAGGGTCAGTGGCAGATCACTGGTTTCCTGCCGGCCTGCAGCAGCGAGCCCGTGCCAATGAATATTTGTCCTGGCAGCACGCGAACCACAGAGGTCACTGTCAAAAGGTCTTCCTGCTCAGGGTTCGTGTCCCAGTTCGACCAAGTGCTGCGTCCTCACATGACACATTTCATCAGCTCGATTAGTTCTTATCTGTAGCTGATTTTATAAGCTATATAATACTTAATATCCTTCTTCCTCTACTATTAATGTTGCTACAGTCATGTTAGCAGCTCTGTGAAGCTCTCCTTAAGCCCAACTGTTCTCTGAGGTTACAACAGAATAGAACAGAATACAATGGAATAGAATAGAGTAGAATAACCCTTTATTATCATTGTACACGTAAAATGAATTTGTGTGTGCTCCACACCAACTGTGCTGAAATAAAATCTAAATAATAGACAGGAGAATAATATACAAAATATATACAAAAACAATAGAAAGGTACACATTAGAGAACAAGATGCAAAAGATAACATACTCATATGATTCCTTACTATGTCCATGTTTTATGTTGTCATATTCTGACCATGCTAACAAATACCTACTAGTCTTCCGGCCACTATAAGCTGCCGCGCTGGATCAGTACTGCTGCTTACTGATCTTTGTGTGTCTGTTTGAGTAAACTCTGTTTCCGGTCATCATGGGTTTTGAAGTCCCGGAGGTGACGATGGATGCTGCTCTTGAAAATATGAAGCAGTCGCTCAACCTGTTGGAGGAGAAATTCCTCCAGAACAAACAGTTCATCCTTGGGGACAAAATCTCTGTGGCAGATGGCTGTAGTGGAGATCATGCAGGTACCACAGCTTCTGTCATTACTTCTATTTGTGTTTCTTGATTAAGTTATATTCTTGGATTCCTGGTCTTTAGGTTTCTGTCTCTGTGCCTCTCCTGTGTTCCTTGTGTCCTAGTCAAGTTATGTTTTCATGTCTGTGCTTCTCCTTATTTCAGTGTCAATTCCGTGTCTCTGCGCCCGTCTCGTGTTTCCTGTTTTACTTTGACAGTCTCGCGTCCTTTGTTAATGTTTCCAGTTTTGCTTCCTCCCCGTCTCGTTATGTTTGATTACTCCCAGCTGTGTCTCTTTCCCTCATTACTCCCTTGTGTATTTAAGCCCTGTGTTTTCCTTTGCCTGTTGTCGTGTTGTTTCATGTGCTGTAGGTGTCTCAGTTTTTCTGCTTTCTGTCATTCTTAGTTCTGTGATCCTCATTTCCTAGTGTTTAGTTCTTAGTTTCCATGTTCAGGGTTTTGTTTTGTTTGTTTTTTTTTGTATGTTTATTTTGTGGAGGATTTTTCCAGCAAATAAAGCTGCTGCTTACGTTCCATGGATCCTTGATCCTGCATGCCACACAGCCACACATGACACCTTATTTCTCCCACATTTTCAGCCCAAGATGTCAGAGTTGTTTTTGTTGATGGCTACATGCTCAAAAGCTACATTTTAGGATCTAAATTATGTATATAGGAACAAAAAGGTTTGAATTTTTGAACAGGAATAGATCCCACATACCAATAACTGCCTTTCCCAATGTGTGTTTTACAGCCTCTTGGAACTGGTGTAGATGGGTTTGAAGGCCGTCCAAAGCTGATTGCTTGGAGAGGGCGAGTGAAGGAGGCGCTCGGTGAGGAGCTGTTTGACGACGCTCACACAGCGCTCATGCAGTTGAGCGGCTTGCCAGAGAAGCTGAAGAGCAGCGGCGAGTTTGAGAAGTTCGAACTGAGATTTCAGAGGTTCTTCAACTGAGGAGGTTTACGTGTACAGACAGACACAATAAATCTTTGACTGCCTGTTGTGTTGCATCTTAAAGTTTACTGCTGTATTTCTTTCATACATGAAGAAAACACGGGGAAGATTCTCTGTTTTGATGGATGAAATGGGTGAAAAACTGTGTATAACAAAGCCAGTGGTTAACACATTGTAGAGGGAAAATAAAATAAACTTGTATGTAGTAGTACAGCACACTCTCCCTGAAAATGACAGCACCATCAAGCAATGCAAGTTCATAACTTAATTGATCATTTACTGTAAATTTGACCATCTGTAGTGATTTCTTAAG